TCTGTCGTGTCCTCGTTGCCCTTAGCCAGAGATCCAGGGCCTCTATTTATAGCAAGCTCCCCTCCTCCTCTAGCGTCCATGTATCCCATGCAATCCATCCCCACTTCCCGATTTATCGCTACGCAAGCGGGCACGTTCGCCATACTTCTAAAACTCCCGCGCATACCACCCTGGTCCACCATGCTCGGCGCACCCGCCCAACACCCCCTCAGGAAAGGGGGGGGGGGGGTGCCGTTGACAATCTGGGGGGTGCACTGCCCCCGCTGGCCACGCCTCGGCCTGAGGTGGCCGGCGGGACGGCCAGTCGCCGGCCGGCCATGGCCGGTGGTGGAGGCTGCCCTGCCCGCATATATAGGTTATATATAATTGCTGCGCCTCAATAAACAACAGTTGACGTGGGCTGGTGGTATGGTGCGTGCCTGCTGAGTTGGAGGGCGTGGGTTTAAACCCTGTTGACAGTGTCCATGCCTTTTACTCTAGTTAAGTGTCATGCTACCTGCCCCATTCCCTGGCCGCGCCGGTGGGCGCTGCCGGCACGACTAGTGGCGCACCGCACCACCCCCGCCGGTCGGTTGCCACTCTAGTTAAGTGTCATGCTACCTGCCCCATTCCCTGGCCGCGCCGATGGGCGCTGCCGGCACGACTGGTGGCGCACCACCCCGACCGGTTGCCGGCCGCCAGCGGTGTTTCTTGCCCGGAAACGTCTTCTCTCTTCTTTTTGGGCCACCACGCCCCCTTGTCTTCTTAGCCCAATAGGACTTGGGCCAATCTCCTATCATCACCACCCCCACTTGGGTCAATACTATGCCAATAAAATGGACCCCCGGGTCCCATATCCCCATCAGGTTCGTAAAAAAATATTTAAAAAAATTAGGTGTTTATATTAACATGTAAAATGACCTAAGGGTATAATAATAATAATAATAATAATAATAATAATAATAATAATAATAATAATAATAATAATAATAATAATAATAATAATAATAATAATAATAATAATTATTATTATTATTATTATTATTATTATTATTATTATTATTATTATTATTATTGTTTTAAAAAAAATAAAAAATAATTAAGCCAATCATATTAACTATTTGGGGGATTTATTGACAAAAAGAGTATTCAAATCACACAACAAATTAAAGTGGGAAACTACCTCGCAATGTCGTTGTTTGGCAATCAGCAGTTAGCTATTCAATATTAGTATATATTTAATATTTTTTGTCCTAATTTTTATTTGTTCTCTCTTATCTCCCGTATTTGGTTTCAACCATACCTATACAATTATTTTATTGGCAATCTTGACTATATTATCTTGCATTTGTAAACTTAGAATTACCTATTTAAATACGCGAATTCAACATTCAATTATCTATGCATGAACAATTCCAATATAATCTTGTCTTGATATACTTTAAAGTACTTATTTAAAAAAAAAAAACATTGGGCATTATCCCAATCGCGCAATGCGCGTAAAAAACTAGTAATAGTAATAAGCAGTATAATAGTGGTGGTGATGGTGATAGTAATAGTGGTGGTGGTGGTGTAGTGGTAGTGGTACTATTTGTTATATAATAATAATAATAATAATAATAATAATAATAATAATAATAATAATAATAATAATAATAATAATAATAATAATAATAATAATAATAATAATAATAATAATAATAATAATAATAATAATAATAATAATAATAATAATAATAATAATAATAACATTCTTCCAAAATAATAACATGCAACAACAACTGGTGGTGGTATGGTGGTGGTGGCAGTGGTAGTGGTGGTAGCCGAGGTGGCGGTGGCGGTGGTGGTAGTGTGGTCTTGTACTGGTAGTGGTGGTGATAGTGGTGGTGATGCCGGTGGTGGTGTTCATGTGGTATTGGTGTAAAAGTTGGAAAATGACTTCCCAAAAAAGAAGAAGTCATTTTCCTCCAAAACAAGCATATTCCATTGACTTGATTTTTTAGACACATCCAAACACTAGAAACCCAAAAAATAATTTTCAGAAATCACTTTTCCGGGTTCCCAAACACACCCTAATACTTTAATATTTAAATATTTACTTAAATATTAAAAATTATACTAAATTATTAGTTTGACTATAGGATTGATGAGACAGAGGTTTCTGTCTGCGGAAATTTAACCCGGGAGAGGAAAAGTTTCTATTTCCCGACGAGAATGGGATGGGAATGAAGAGTATACTCCCCACCCCGTCCTGCCTCATTGTCATCCCTAGTCATTGAAATTTTGATGAAAAATTGAAGACTTAAGTGTTCTAATATTTGATTTTTTTATATGAGCCTTGGAAATTATACTAGTTTGAGTGTTTAACTTGGTGATTGATCGAGGATAGAGATTACTCATCCATGGGGGAAATGGAATGCATGAGGTTGTAGGGACGTAAAAATGGAATTTTGGTGAAGAATTGAAGACTTAAGTGTTTTAATATATGATTTTTTATATGAGCCTTGAAAATTATACTAGTTTGAGTGTTTAACTTGGTGATTGATCGAGGATAGAGATTACTCATCCCTGGGGGAATGAAATGCATGAGGTTGTAGGGACGTAGAAATGGAATATACTCCCCACCTTGTTGTTATCTATATCTATAATAAGAATGACAATTTCTCCCCAATCCATGCTCAAATGGGGATAATGATACCCCCTCCTACCCCGTCCCCAATACATTAATTTAAAGAAATAATATATAGTTGATGAAGTTATGAAGAATTACAGACTTAATTCGAAATTAATACATAAACATGTATTAGGATAGTACAACTTAGAACCTTAGACCTTAGCAATTCTCCAGCCAAACTGGTTTTGTCGAGATCAAGCCCATCATAAACCGGTCTTGTTGTGATTAGGTCCACCATAAACCATATATGAAAGTACAGAACGGGGTATAAAAATAATATTATTATTGCTAAGTAATAAATACTATAACCCAAATAATGGACTAAGAAATACTAGGGACAATAGTAGCGTAGCTAATAAGAGTCAAACTCTAGTGTTTTTATTAGAAGCTAGGAATCCATACCACTTGACTAGGGATCGGAGATTATTATGATCAAGGGATGATGTCTTAAGAGGAATTAAGGCCCCGTTTGGTAAAAAAAGTAGCCTATAGGCTAATTTTGGCTTATTTGACCACTATTAATTGTTTGATTTAGTTAAAATATCAATATAAGTGTTTGGTTAATTAGCTTTTTGCAACTTCAAAATGCTAAAATTCAAAAAGCTACTCCAAACAACTTTTTCAATTAGCTTTTTTAGAAAAAAAATTATACCAAACAGCTATCAGCTAATAACAAATTTACCAAACACTTTTCTACAACAGCTAATGTTATCAACTAGTTATACCCTCTAATTAACACTATCAGCTAACAGCCATTTACCAAACAGGACCTAAGTGTGTCTTATATAGTGTAGAGGGCCTTCCGGATGGTTGGCAAATGTATGACATCGGCTAGTCTTCATTCTTGACCACACATGTGTCCCCCGTTACTTTGTTTCCTGTGCACTTCCCATGAATAACTAGAGTTTTCTACCCTCATGTTAGCCCATTAAGTATGGCTTGGTGGGTTGGAGTGTGAGATGCTCAATGGAGGTCATTGGTTTGATACCCTTTGATAGCACTTCCTTAACTTATTTTGCTTTATGCTTTCTTCTTTCCTTAGCCCAATAGATTTTCATTATTCTTATTGTATTAATACCTTATTAATAAAGTTGGAACCCAACTTGAGCCAAGACTTGGAGTCCCTTGACCCCATCGCTCACAATAAACATGAGCAAGTTTCAATTCACATCCCATAATCGTACAACGTGCATGTTACACACAAACTCCAACAAATTTACTAAAAAAGCATTAAGAAAAACGCATTTCATTAACTAATTAATGACTCTTTCCGAGTCACACCTTCAACTCCACCTCAACTCTTCAAAAATCCATCTCCAATGCAAAGCTAAAGTCCTTTAACATTGTTTAAACCTTAGCCTTATCAAAGCTACAAGTCTTGATATTAAAAGTGAAACCCTTCAACCAATCACCTACTTCATCTCACAACAAATCTTTTATTCTCACTTTATTCACACTTCTTTTATAGCAGTAAGCCAGTAATCAATATTGAGTTTAACCCAATACACCTTACATTTTTTCCACCCTACATTTCTCCACGTATACAAATGCCAATTGATATACCATGGACCATATAGTCTACCTTATATTATGGATCGCAATAAAAAAAATTATGTATTTACAGTTAACAAATTATGTGTCTTCAGTTAATAAATTATGTGTGTGTAAATAAATTGGAAGCATATAATTTGTTGACTACAACCATTACATACTTTAATTTCTATACATGTTGCCCAACACCTATTTTTACTAAATTTTCAAGTCTCATCACCACCTCTTACCAATATCAATTATCATAAAAACTCTTCTAAGTCACATGAGCAAAAACTTTTCCTCTCGGTAGGAGAAAGAGAAGACAAAAGATACACTTAGAGAGGCCAAGAAAAAAAAAAAAAAACATAAGTAGGGGCAAGAACTCTCTCTTCTCTTTGTAAGGACAAGAGATAAACTCGTTATGTCCGCATGGATTGCTCAATTGATCATAAATGTGAAAGTTGAAAAAATGATCAGGGATTGAGTCTCACCAGTGACAGTGTGGTTCATGTTCAGTTGAGTTACCCTGATTTACATCCTACCGTTATATACAACATGACTAGATTAAATTGATTAATAACTTTAGATAAATACATTATTTATTTTATAATTTTTTTATTCTATTATTGTTTTATATTTAAATCCCTTTTTACTGCTGAAATTCAAGATCAAATCAAAACAAGAATAACAAAAGCACCCTTTTTAGAAACAAAGCAGAGAAAGATTAGATCCACTTTCTTCAATACTCATCTACCAGTAATTACTGTTGAGAAAAAAAAAATTACAGTTACTGTAGATTAAAAACAGGAAAAGAAAATATAAAAAGAAAATGTCTGCTCTCCGAAGGATTTCGTCCGAAAGACGAAGCGTCGTTAGCGTTAGCGATACTACCCCACTGCTCCACGACCATCACCGCTACCGCCATCTACGATCGTCTTTGTCCCTTAAAGTTTCCTCTTCCACCGCAGGAATGGACACCGCTACTTCGCTGCCTCGCTCTGTCTTCCTCGGCGTTGACGTCGGCTCCGGCAGCGCCCGCGCTGGTACGCTCTTTCGTCTCGCTTCTGATACGTGTGCATTTTCTTGTGCTATGTAAGTATAAACTGTAAATTAGAGATGCACTAGTAACGACGATAAGAAATTCCGTAATTCGTTTGATGTATGCGTAGTGCTGTAATTCTGTGTTGAGCTTAAATTTAACTTGTGTGTTCGTTAAATTTAGGTCTCAGTCACGGTAATCCTGTAATGATTTTCGTTCAGACGCTCTGTGATTATTTGTAGTGGATTATCTGTGTACATAGGTAGCAAAATACTTCCGCCGGTGAGGGGAATGAGTGCTGTAATTCATAGTAAAGGATGAAATGTTTTCAATATGTCAAGTGTTTTTGAAAGATAAATTATCTGAGAGGACTGATATGGAAGCTAAAATTGTTGTGTGGTGGAATGTCAACTGTGTTGCCTTAGAAACTTTGCCAAATTGATTGGCTGAGTCCTGTGAGTGTTCCATACACAAAAAGGCATTGTCATCCCATAGTATTTGCCTTTGTCTACATTCTGCATTCTTTGAATTGGAGAAGTTAATTTGATGTGTATGACTGCAGACAAATTCATTGAGGAAGATGAGTTTTCTAAAGCTCTTTAGGTTCAATAGTTCAGAAGATGGTTGAAGTGTTCTTGTCAGTATTCACTCATGGTTATTAAATATCTCTTACTGAAGTTCTATGTCACTCAAAAATGTGTAGGTTTAAGAGAATATTTTCTTTTCTAAAATCTTTTTCATGTTAAAATAAACTGTGAATAGTTTCTGACATCACATTATCAGAGATTCAGAGTGATGTCCTCAAAATTCGCAACTACAGGAAATAGCAAGTCAAGGTCCTAGAGAAATCTAGATTGGTCTTATGAAGATTATAAGAAATTAATCCAGATATTAAGTCCCTCAATTTAAACTGTTAGATGTTTTGATATGCGTGTTTACACACAAACAAATATGGAGTATAAGTTTAGCAGTTTTCTTTTATTACTAGTGTGCAATGAAGTTTATATTTTCTACTCATTAACTTGAAATATGTTGTAAATTGGTCATATTGCTTTTACCCTTCCCTTTTACAGGTCTCTTTAATGAGGATGGGAAACTTCTAGGTTCTTCTAGCAGCCCGATACAGATTTGGAAAAGTGGTGACTTTGTTGAGGTTATAAACCAGTATACATTTTTCTTTCAGAGAATAAAGTTCCAATCTAGATGCTTATTATGAACCTTGATTTCGCAGAGTAAATAACTTCTCGCAGTTAATGTTTGGATTAGGTTGCTTTAGATATAATAATAATGTCTAAAACTCTAAATAACATATAGGTAACAAATACTATGTTATACATTTTGGCAAGTGAGGAGAATATTTTCATTTTGTTTATATGATTCCCTGAATGCAGCAATCTTCAACTGATATTTGGCTCGCAGTCGGCACTGCAGTAAAAGCAGCATGCTCTCTTGCTAATGTTACTAGGAATGATGTAAAGGGTCTGGGTTTTGCAGCTACTTGTTCTCTTGGTCTGTGATTACTAATCACATTATCTCATATACATGACCTTATTGAACTAACCTTGAGTTCTGCTCATTGAATCCTTAAGTTGGACACCTTTGGTTTCTCTATACAGTTGCTGTTGATTCTGATGGCGAACCTGTCACAGTTTCTTTGAGTGGTGATGCTAGAAGAAATATCATAGTGTGGATGGACCACAGAGCAGTAAAACAAGCTGAAAGGATCAACTCCTCTAACTCACCAGTATTACAATATTGTGGTGGTGCTGTTTCCCCTGAGATGCAGCCACCAAAGGTACATTAGGTAGTACGATAATCTAGTCTGTTTTCTTTCATTTTTTTTTTTAATTATAACTTTTCTATAAGTAAAAAGTAAAAGGTTTGACTCTACACGTGTATTTACAGTTTTGTCTCTATCTGCTTTTACATCCATGTATCTGCTTGAAGCACATGTCTTAGGTATCAGAGCTATCCCTGTCTATTTATTTGTAGAGACCTTAAGTTTAGGAACTGCCCCTGACAATTTTTATATCCTTGCAATAAAAGAACCCTATCTATTCAATTTTTAGTGTTTAAAGAACTCATAGCATAGCTATCTAAAAAGTGCCAATGCCATTTCCATTTGCTCCCAATTTTCTCTCTTAATACTTATCTGTGGCTATTTCTTTTCTGTTTACCATTTCCTTTTGGTTGCGTCTTCTATTTCTGTAAACAGTAATGCTTGTTCTGTATTCCATTTCTCCACATCAAAGTTCTTAAAGAGTATTCAAGAATGATGCCAGAATCTGTTCACTTGAATAGGAATGCAAAAGACAGCTGAGTATTAGAGAATTTGGATTCAGTTTACACCTACCTCACCTGGAAAATTGGCTATAATAGTGGTGCACATTCAGATGGCAGTTCATAGGTGATTCTGTTAGGCATAAACCGTTACTTGATCTCCCAAAAAGAAAGAACAAGGAAGCAAGGAAAGAAAAAGAAGATTAATGATTCACCTATTGCAGATCCTATTGGATTCAGAGAAACAGAAAATGCAGAGATGGAGGTGGATATAAGTTTGGTTCCCCAAGATATACCTTCTTTATAATTCTTAGTTGTCCTCCACTTGAAATGCTGATGCATCGCTAAAAGGTTATCTAGTGGGAACTAGATTTTGTGGGCTCATTTTCCTTTTTCTTCTCTAGTTAAGATGAATATGAGAAATTGACCGGTGTACCTTAATTATGGATAAGATTCCTTCTCCTTGCCATCTATACACTTTGTTTTCTATTGCTAGATAACTGAGTGAAATTACTTTCACTTGCTTGAACAAAATATGTTTGTTGAATAACATGTAGCTGCCTTCCTTTTTGTGTATTTCAGCTTTTGTGGGTTAAGGAAAACCTGCAAGAATCTTGGTCTATGGCATTTCGGTGGATGGATTTGAGTGATTGGCTATCATACAGGTGAGAAATTAAATTTCTGATGCAGATCTTTTGAATATTTTAGTGGTCACTAATGGTGAAAATGTTACCATTCAACAATTTCATAGAGCAACAGGAGATGATACTAGGAGCCTGTGCACTACTGTATGCAAATGGACATATCTTGGTCATGCTCATATGCAGCAGATCAATGAGAAAGATTCTCGCAATATGGAAGCTTGTGGATGGGATGATGAATTTTGGGAGGAGATTGGCTTAGGTGATCTTGTTGATGGGCACCATGCTAAGATAGGTACTTTAGTGAATGTTCAATTTATCCAATGATACTACTTGCAACTATTCTTTGCCATTACCTTGGCATATAGTTTCAGATACAAACACGCGCACACTAATAATAAAATCCAAAATGTTAGGATTATGACAGGAATAAAAATTGTGTTGATGTAATAGATTGTATCAATGACTTATACCTTATGCTTTCTTTCTTATACTTATACGAATAATTTTCAAATCTACTCATCTTTTTAGTTTTTTCTCGAATCTTCTCAAGTGTACAAGGTCATGGTCAGTTGCTTCAGTCAAGATGATTAGCATCTTGGGCATCTTTGCGAAGTCTTGTAAAAGTTGTTAATATAAAATCCCCCCATTAAAATTGTACTACTTGGAAATTTCTGTGTTGGTTAATATTTTCCCTTGCAATAAAAATCATGTGCAGGACGAAGTGTTGCTTTCCCTGGCCATGCTTTGGGCTCTGGTCTAACCCCCGTAGCTGCCAAGGCAAGACTTTTTTACTGATGATCAGGCTTTGATTTTACTCTGTAATGCAAGATAATTTTCTGTGTGTTGACATTTTACAAATCATGCTTTCACTGGTTTTACTAGAAGCTGCAATTGTTTCAGGAATTGGGTTTGGTGGCTGGGATACCGGTAGGTACTTCACTAATAGATGCTCATGCAGGTGGCGTGGGGGTAATGGAAAGTGTGCCTAGATCTGTTATTGAACCTAAAGGTTGTTTTGTCAGCTAAGTTAATTTTGAAGCTTC